CAAAAAAAAAAAAAAAAAAAATTCTGGTGTATTATATTCAGATGGCAGCAATCCTAGTCAAGAGTATGTTGGAGTCTAACTAGGTAGACATTGGATTGACTCCAGTGTTAAGAGCTACAAACTTGGGAATTGCCTCAGCTCTGCTGGTCTAAGGACATTGGGAAGGCTGGGTGGATCATAAGGCAATCATAATAGGAACTGAAAGTAATAATTTAAATCTTATGGCCTAGGCATCGGTTAAGTGTTTTATAAGTAATATCTCATTCATTCCTCATAAAAAGTTTCTATCAAAAGTATAAAAACTCTTGATAGAAACTGAGGCTTAGAGAAAAGTGAGGCAATATGCCCAGCTAGAATGTGGTGGATCCAGGACAGGGCCTTAAGTTGTGGTCCAAAGCCAAGTTCTGAATCTCTCACTGTACTCCACTGGAGGCCAAAGCTCTATAGCAAAGGAAAAGTGACCTGCAGGCTAGATCTAAACACTCAGCAGAGATCCCGCTTGCAATGCATGGCAACATCTCTCAAGCCAGACAAAGGGTCATTGTATTTTTTTTTTCGTGGCTGACCAGTATGGGGATCCAAACCCCTGACCTTGGTGTTATAACACCATGCTCTAACCAACTGAGCTAACTGGGCCAGCCCAGGGTCATCACTTTTAACCTTTCTTTTCACACGTTTTCCATACAGCCTGCCTAGCAGGTCTCTGATAGCATAGCCTTTTAAAAAAATAATTATTTTGTAGAGATTAACTTTTAGAGAACTTCATTAAGTTGAAAGAACATGAGAGGGAGATTCCTGAAAGTTCTTCTATGTCATAAAAAGAAAAATAGCTCAAATTCTAATGTATTAATTTTGTCTTCAGTACTGTTTTAAAATAAGAGATCAGTAGAGCCTTTTGACATTTTCTCCTAAACTGACTTATGCCAGTTTAAGGAAGTTGGGAAGGACAGAAATTACTACCAAAAGGAACCAAACTGTATATGTTTTGGTCAGTAAACACATTTAAATCAAGATGAAAAATATGAAGTAACCCTAAAAAAGGTTTTTAATGTTGCTATAGATAAATGTTACAAGGATTTAAATTAGTGCTTTTTAAAACATTTCTGGGCCGAGCCTGTGGTGCACTCGGGAGAGTGCGGTGCTGGGAGTGCAGCAGCGCTCCCGCCGCGGGTTTGGATCCTATATAGGGATGACCAGTGTGCTCACAGCGCTCACTGGCTGAGCGTGGTGTCGATCCTATATAGGGATGGCCGGTTTGCTCACTGGCTGAGCGTGGTGCTGACAACACCAAGTCAAGGGTTAAGATCCCCTTACCAGTCGTCTTTAAAAAAAAAAAAAAATTTCTGACCTTTAGCCCACAGTAAGAAACACTCAGTACACACACACACAACTAAAACGAGTTTCACGAGATAGTATTAAATGTGATACAATAATATTTAAATCTACCCTACTCAATCTATTAACAATGCCAGGCCAGCCCTGTGGCTCACTCGGGACAGTGCGGTGCTGGGAGCGCCGAGGCCGCGGGTTCGGATCCTATATAGGGATGGCCAGTGCGCTCACTGGCTGAGTGCGGTGCGGACCACACCATGCCGAGGGTTGCGATCCCCTTACCAGTCAAAAAAAAAAAAAAAAAAAA